TTTCTATTTCAAACAATTCCTGATTTTTGAAATTAGAAATATTTGCTTCAGGTGGCATACAACTTGATGGTACTACTGCACTATTATAATTTTCTACGGAAGGATTTTCATTTCGATTTCTTTTTCAATATTTTTGTACTCTTAAACGCGTTAATGCACGTTTTCTTGCCAATCTTCTATCAAAAAGATCCATAACGTTATGGTTTTACACAATATTTATATACTACTATTTTAAATGTATATATATATTTTTTCTATTTTAAATGTATATTTTTAAATGTATATTTTATTATGTATATTTTCCTTGTTGAAAAATTAATTACAAACACAGATTCTATGAAAATCTGCAGCGTTTGTAATTAATTTTTCGACAAGGCACGTATACCATGTCCTTATCAGCACCTGATTAAATTATTTGATTTAACTTTATTTTCGGCTGTACTATGGCTAGTCCGAGTAGGTAATGATAAAGACCTAATCGGGATGGCCTTAGCAAGGCATGCTTTAAGATTGCCCAGTACGAGGTCCTTAATGGGATGGTATATCGAGTCAATTTCTAGTCGAGGTAGGACTACATGTCCTGATGAGGGCCTGCTTATATAACCCTATGAAAATCTGCGTTTGTAATTACTATTTTTCGACAAGGCACGTATACCATGTCCTTATCAGCACCTGATTAAATTATTTGATTTAACTTTAGTTTCGGCTGTACTATAATTAGTCTGATTAAGTAATGATAAGGACCTAATCGGAATGGCCTTAGCAGGGCATGCCTTAAGATTACCCGGTCAGGTCCTTGTAATATATCGGGACAATTTCTAGTCGGGATGTTATGTGTATCAGATATGACACTAGATATGATCCGATCTAATCTCATATCTGATCATGTATGACTTTCATATCTAATCATACATGATTATTCCTGAATACATATAACGAATGTAGAATCATATATGATGATACATAAATTCATGTGATAGCATATCTATTTATACATAACCAGATATGAAGTCATATGGAATAGCATATCTAGTTATACATGACCAGATATAATGTCATAATCAGATATGATGTCATATAAAATAGTATACTTAGTTATACATGACCAGATATGTTGTCATATATGGAATTATATGGTCGCGCGACTTAGAGTTTATTTCATATATGATTATACATGTCATTATATATGGAATAAACAATATATAATTAATATTTTATGACAATAATTGTGATAATTAATTTTATTTTTTGTCCACACACACACACACACACACACACACACACACGCACAAAATAAAATTAATTATCACAATTATTGTGACAATTTAAAAATATTAATCGTTTCTTTACATATGTATATAGGAAAAAATATATATTTATATAATATTTATTTCAGAAATTGACTTTATTGAAAATTTTATTATAATGTTTAAAATTACGTACTTATAATTAATTGATTTTACCAAATTTGTTTTCGTACATTTGGCTGTTTGCATATGAAACAATCAATTTTGATGACGTGATTCATTGATGTAATTTGTGCCAATTCCATTATAATAATTTCTTCATTTTCAATAACATATATATATTATATGATCTATGTAAATTTGTTTTTCTAAACAATAAAACATTTGTGTATGGTCAACTTTAAAGCGTTCAAATACAAGAAACAGTGAAGAAGGATGACTTACTGTAGTGAAGAAAAATTTTATATATCCATAAAAGCTTCTTTCATTGTCTAGACGTACTTGTACTGTCAAACTATTTGTTTTTGTTATTTTATACATTTTAGATGTAGATGTTTTACTATCAATATGACAATATTTACTGTAGAGTAAACAGATACAATCGATCGGTCAAAACCGTTAGATTGTAATAATTCAATATCAACATTGTGTAACTTGTCAGTACATATATTATGTTTACTTAATATTTCAAAACGTTTATGATTAAATAATACATCGTTACTTTTCGCAAATTGATGTTTAAGTATTTGAATACCTTGAATAATACTTATATTTTTAATAACTTCTTGCCCTATATTTTTTTTACCGTGAGCACAGTTTGCTATAAATTGATTAAAATTTTCAAACGGGAACGCTGATGTAGCCCATAGAGGACCCCATCGTTGAACAATGAGAGTAAGATGCAACAGTTGGTGCACATTATATGTCAATTGACGATCACTATACAAATGTTCAATTTGTTGTACAAAAAATTTCAAACAAGAATCTGCTAATTCAAGATCTGTTTGTTTGATTCAATCTTGAAGAAGAATAAATATCGCTTTAACAAGAAGAAGCCAATGCTTAAAATATATATCTGGTAAGTAATTTCTTAATGCAGGGAGTGAGTAAAATAACCAATTATAATTAATATTCTGATGCTTTATAAAATGCAGCAAGTGTTATAGGTCGTGGCAATCTGTGAAAGAAATAAGGTGGTCGAATAGTCATTAAAAATTGATCGATCTCTTTACTATATTTTTTTATACTCCATAGCCCTTTTTGATTAAAAAACAAATCAACAAATTGTCGTGTGACGCCTAATAAGACAGAATGCATATATTCAGGTAGCACACATGTACCTAAATCAACAAGAGGTAAGGTTGAAATAATTGAATGTCCTTTTACGCCTTTTACATGATATCTATCTAAATTACATACTTTGTTAGCTTGCTTGCGCATTCTGTAATCATTTCTTAATGTACTATCTTCTTTTTTAAAGGGATATATACGATAGCTTCTTTGTCCACTAATTTTTTTACATTTTTTCATTTTGATTTCGCAAATATTGCAGCCATATTTACCATTAAATGACAAAATATTTTGAATTTGAACTCTTGCTGGCGCATCAGCAATAATTAAAGGTGCTACAATTTTTGAAATAATTTGCTCGTTAGTTTCAGGATAAGTCCAACAAATACCATTGTAGAAACAGTTTCGCAATTTTGAACAGAATGGTTGTAAAAATACATTCATTAACGGTTTACATGTATCATCATACCAAAGACCTATCATAACCATAAACGACATTCTCAAATATTCCGGCAATTCAGCAATGACAAAAATTAATGGCCAACAGTAACTTTTAGAACTGTTAACTAAAGAAAGGCCATCTGTGTTTAGTACTAAAGTTAAATCATATTGTCCTCTATTAATACGAGAGTTAACTCTAACGTATTCAGAGCCATCTGTTATATCACCAATTTCGTTTTTATCACTATCTATTACAGGTGATTTTAAGATTGCAGCTAAGTTACGATGATCGAACATAAATTTTAATTGTTGACATATATCTATTTAAAAAAAAAAAATATGTCTTTTTTATCAGTATTACACGAAAAACATGTGTCTATTTTACAATCACTACTAATATAGGATAAACAAATTCTACAATAGAAGTGTTTAATAGTATTACATAAAGGTGTACGATCGCTGACGTATTGAAACAATTTAAAAACAGATTTTGGCAAATTCTTATGCTCACTCGCTTTGTGTAACAACGATAATATATCTTGTAAGCTTGACTTTGTCCACTTATGATATACATATAATTTTAAAAAATGTAGAACTATTTCATCTACATGTAATGGATTTTTTTTATTTACTAAGAGAACTGCTTCCTTTTCACGGTTAAATTCATCTTCATCGATATCAGTAATCTTGCTGCTAATAATATCATTATCATTCATAGTATTTTGAGTAATATTTATGTCTATTTCAGCTTGATCTTGAAAGCTCATTTCATCGCTCATATTTTCATTTATGTTTGTATTACTGTCATTTGTGAAATTATCTGTATCGTTGTAATGAGAAATAGTATTTCTATTATCACTTGCAATCAGTGGCAAATTTATTTCATTATTGTGATCATCGTCACTAAAAGTGTCATCTCTTACAGTATTATTTGTATTCTTATCCCATCTTTGTCTCGTTTTCAATAGAACCTGTAGTAAAAAAAATGTAAAATGTAACGACGCAGACACTTTTAAAATGATCTCAGAACATCCTTAGAAATTTCAAAATAATTTAAACTTTGTTTTAATAAATAATATTTATAAATAATAAAATCGTTCAACTTCAATTTTTTATGAAAATAAATAGAATTAGAAATAATAATATATATACAAAAATCAATAAAAAATAACTGTATAATGTACTTTAAATTTATTTATGAATAAAACATTTTAACTGTTTGATTTAATTGAAACATATAATTTTCCTCTCTCTCTCTCTCTCTCTCTCTCATTAACACACACACACACACACACACACACACACACACACACACACACACAAATTAATACTCTATAATAAATTATTGAGCATAAAAATAAATTACAAATATTAAAAATAAATAAATTCGAAGTCGTATTATACATTTCAAATAATACCATTAGAATTAAATTTTTTAAATAATTTAACAACAGTCTTTTTTCGATATCGTATTATATATTTAAGATAATACAAAGATCTCATATTGTTCTATTTGATACATTTTTTTATCGAGGTTATATATTTAAGATAATACAAAGATCTCATTTTGTTCTATTTGATACATTTTTTTATCGAGGTAATAACGTTAAAAAATATACTTGGCGGTTTTTTTTACATTTTTAATGTTTTTATTCCACGGATTTCACGAATTTTTGCTAAGTTTTTGTTACATT